ATAATACCAGTCAGCGGACTTTAATAACACTAAGAGGGCTCTAGTACCATTCAGAGGGCTCTTGTACAATTCAGCGGGCTCTAGTACCAATCAGCGGGCTCTAGTACCACTCAGAGGGCTCTAGTACCACTCAGAGGGATATAGTACCACTCAGTGGGTTTTAGTACCACTCAGCTGGCTCTAGTACCCATCATAGGACGTTAGTACCACTCAGAGGGCTCTAGCACAACTCAGCGGGCTCTAGTATCACCCAGCCGGCTCTAGTACCAATCTGTGGGCTCTAATACCACTCAGCTGGTTCTATTACCACTCAGAGGGCTCTAGTTCCACTCAGAGGGCTCTAGTTCCACTCAGAGGGCTCTGGTACCACTCAGTGGGCTTTAGTACCACTCAGAGGACTCTAATATCACGCAGAGGGCTCTGGTATCACTCATTGGGCTCTAGTACCACTCAGCGGGCTCTAGAACAACTCAGAGGGCTCTAGTAACACTCAGAGGGCTTTAGTACCACTCAGAGGGCTGTAGTACATCTCAGAGGGCTGTCCTACACTCAGAGTGCTCTAGTAGCACTCAGCTGGCTCTAATACTACTCAATGGGCTCTATAACCTCTCATAGGGTTCTAGTACAACTCAGAGGGCTGTAGTACCCCTCACAGTGCTCTCGTACGACTCAGAGGGATCAAGTACCCATCAGAGGGCACTAGTACAACTCAGAGGGCTCTAGAAACACTCAGAGGGCTTTAACACCACTCAGAGGGCTCTAGTACCACTCAGCAGGCTCTAGTACAACTCAGCGTACTCTAGTACCACTCAGCGGGCTCCCGTACAACTTAGAGGGATTTAGTACAACTCAGAGGGCTCTAGTACCACTCAGAGGGCTCTAGTACCTCAGAGGGCTCTAGTACCACTCAGAGGGCTCTAGTACCTCAGAGGGCTCTAGTACCACTCAGAGGGCTCTAGTACCTCAGAGGGCTCTAGTACCACTCAGAGGGCTCTAGTACCTCAGAGGGCTCTAGTACCACTCAGAGGGCTCTAGTACCTCAGAGGGCTCTAGTACAACTCAGAGGGCTCTAGTACCACTCAGAGGGCTCTAGTACCACTCAGAGGGCTCTAGTACCTCAGAGGGCTCTAGTACAACTCAGAGGGCTCTAGTACCACTCAGAGGGCTCTAGTACCACTCAGAGGGCTCTGGTACCTCAGAGGGCTCTAGTACCACTCAGAGGGCTCTAGTACCTCAGAGGGCTCTAGTACCACTCAGAGGGCTCTAGTACCTCAGAGGGCTCTAGTACCACTCAGAGGGCTCTAGTACCTCAGAGGGCTCTAGTACCACTCAGAGGGCTCTAGTACCTCAGAGGGCTCTAGTACCACTCAGAGGGCTCTAGTACCTCAGAGGGCTCTAGTACCACTCAGAGGGCTCTAGTACAACTCAGAGGGCTCTAGTACAACTCAGAGGGCTCTAGTACCACTCAGAGGGCTCTAGTACCACTCAGAGGGCTCTAGAACAACTCAGAGGGCTCTAGTAACACTCAGAGTGCTTTAGTACCACTCAGAGGGCTGTAGTACATCTCAGAGGGCTGTCCTACCACTCAGAGTGCTCTAGTAGCACTCAGCTGGCTCTAATACTACTCAATGGGCTCTATAACCTCTCATAGGGTTCTAGTACAACTCAGAGGGCTGTAGTACCCCTCACAGTTCTCTCGTACGACTCAGAGGGATCAAGTACCCATCTGAGGGCACTAGTACAACTCAGAGGGCTCTAGAACCACTCAGAGGGCTTTAACACCACTCAGAGGGCTCTAGTACCACTCAGCAGGCTCTAGTACAACTCAGCGTACTCTAGTACCACTCAGCGGGCTCTAGTACAACTTAGAGGGATTTAGTACAACTCAGAGGGCTCTAGTACAACTCAGAGGGCTCTAGTACCACTCAGAGGGCTCTAGTACCTCAGAGGGCTCTAGTACCACTCAGAGGGCTCTAGTACCTCAGAGGGCTCTAGTACCACTCAGAGGGCTCTAGTACCTCAGAGGGCTCTAGTACCACTCAGAGGGCTCTAGTACCTCAGAGGGCTCTAGTACCACTCAGAGGGCTCTAGTACCTCAGAGGGCTCTAGTACAACTCAGAGGGCTCTAGTACAACTCAGAGGGCTCTAGTACCATTCAGAGGGCTCTAGTACCTCAGAGGGCTCTAGTACAACTCAGAGGGCTCTAGTACCACTCAGAGGGCTCTAGTACCACTCAGAGGGCTCTGGTACCTCAGAGGGCTCTAGTACCACTCAGAGGGCTCTAGTACCTCAGAGGGCTCTAGTACCACTCAGAGGGCTCTAGTACCTCAGAGGGCTCTAGTACCACTCAGAGGGCTCTAGTACCTCAGGGGGCTCTAGTACCACTCAGAGGGCTCTAGTACCTCAGAGGGCTCTAGTACCACTCAGAGGGCTCTAGTACCTCAGAGGGCTCTAGTACCACTCAGAGGGCTCTAGTACAACTCAGAGGGCTCTAGTACAACTCAGAGGGCTCTAGTACCACTCAGAGGGCTCTAGTACCACTCAGAGGGCTCTAGTACCTCAGAGGGCTCTAGTACCATCAGAGGGCTCTAGTACCACTCAGAGGGCTCTAGTACCTCAGAGGGCTCTAGTACCACTCAGAGGGCTCTAGTACCTCAGAGGGCTCTAGTACCACTCAGCGGAGCAGTTTCAATCCCCACATCGCATCTTTGCCTTTAAGTTGTGAAATATTTTTGTCAATCATATACAATATTTGCCTTTTAAAAAACGAGTTCAATAGCAGAATGAAATCTGTCTTTGCAACATTGCATAGACTTTTGAATAGTTTGTCCTTAGAATCTATTCCTGCCAAAGAATGACATATTTACAAAACAATATATATTATGCTATTCTGAAGAGAATCTATTAGTGGCTACTCTCACTATATACAATTATTATATCAATGTCATATCAGTTTCTTATCATATACATTTATTATATCAATGTCATATCATTTTCTTATCATATACATTTTTTTTCAAGCTTTTTTTGACATTAGGCTACTTTTCTGTCACAATATTACCGAAATTAAATGGATAATATTCCAACAACAAAGGTTATTGATTTTTGTTGATGTTAGACAATATGGTTAGAGCTCTAGGCCTACCCGTCATTTATTTGTCTGTAAAAGAGGAACACAGGACTTCGCAGTAATAACTAACAAGGTAATGGTTTGTCCAGCAGGTGGCGGGTTTTGTACACAATAGCACCACTGCAAGGTGTTGCTTATCGACACTTCCAAGAGGGCTCAAACGCCCTGCAAATGTGAGCAGAAAAAACATATTGACCACAGGAGCACGAGCACCTTGTCAGTGTACGGGTAACGATATAGAGCGAGCTGCATATTTGTGGTACATTATGTATTTTATATCAATCACACTTATTAGGTTAATGTATTCATTAGATTATTTTTATTTTTTTACAAATAGCTCACTTTCCGTGGTTATTCAACAAAATCATAGATATAATACCTAATTTTGGCCGTTTTGTGTTCCCTGCCCTGCATAATTTGAGATTGTTTGACTTCAGATATTTTACTTATGACATAAATGGACTCGAAATACCTCACCTCTTACCTACTTAGAAAGAAGGTATTTTCTCCTACAATTGAAATTAAAGGTTTGAAATGCGTCTTCATTTTGCGTGCTTCTACATCTCTTGCTGTTTGGGGTTTTAGGCTGGGTTTCTGTATAGCACTTTGTGACATCTGCTGATGTAAAAAGGGCTTCATAAATTAAATGTTATTGATTGATTGCAGGGTGACCAATTGAATCATGGTTTTAGGGGGTTAAATACACGTGTGCCATTTCTTTCCCTCCAGATCTCAAGTTAAAAGTGACAGGCGTATGTTTACTTTAATTAGGAGAAAGTGAAAATGTATTTGTTAGTCCTTCCACCTCGTACAGAAGCTTATTTTAAACAGGAAGACCCGGAGGCCTAATGGAATTATTTTTAAAAGAGCAATTTGCTTTCATTCAAATGAATATAATAATCTAATTAATTTGTTAGCGGTATTTTTGCACTTCAGATTATGGATTGTAGGCTTTAGGCCTATAAGGGAGGGTGCATGAGGTTCAGTCCGCAAGTTGTGCTTCCACTAATAATACCAACCTTATGGAAATACTTATTAACATTGATATTAAAACTAGGATATTAATAACAACAACAACAACAACAACAATAATAATAATAATAATAATAATAATAATAATAATAATAATAATAATAATAATAATAAAAATGTGGGTGATACTTTAATTTGTTGTGTTTTAAAACATTTGAAGCCATCAATTAAATCCATGGAGTGTGAATTGCTTCATTGCCAAATCCATTAACCCTTGATATGTTACCCTTATATGCAATGTTGTAGGCAATCAATATGCCATCTCAGCATTACCATCCACTGAGAAAAACTGCATCACAAAAATCCTATTCTCTTTTGAATCTTCGCTGCCAGGTTATTTCCCAATATGGACAAGGATCAGCTATTACAATTCGATTTTTATGACGTGCCTATTTTTATAGCCTCATAGGCCTAGACAGGCTAAAAAACATATTTTATTTGTTATTTTATTTTTTAACCTTTATTTAACAAGACAAGTCAGTTAAGAACAAATTATTATTTACAATTACGGCCTACCCCGGCCAAACCCGGATGACGCTGGGCCAATCGATATGGGCTAGGCAAAATGGCAAATGTATATTTTCAGTAGTTGTAAATAGCCTATTGGAAATTGGCATTGCAGCCTCTAAAAATAAAAAGAGATTACAGTTGACACCGTGCTACAACTATGTTCAGGCCGTCACTAGAAGGTTAAACCTATAATGAAAAAAATAGAAACTTGAGTTTACAGTAAGGAGCTCCCTCAAATTTGTATGGGGGCTGGCTAAATGACGCGCATGTGCGAGTAAAGGGTTTGGTTGCAATAAAGAGGCGGTTTGAGTGCAGACCGCAGGACAGTAACAGACGGCGTCTTCACCAGAGTCACTACAGAAGTTCTGCACACAACTATTTTGGACAGCTGTGAACTACACGCGCGTACATTCTAAACTCGATGTGAACATGCCGGGCAAGTTGTCTTACGAAGTCCAAAACTTTCTCTGAACCACTTTAAACTTTGAACGTTTTCTCCAACTCGTTTTGCATCGGAACATCCGCAGGTTTTCAACTCCAGGACCACTCCGGATCCATAGGACCGACCTTACCTCTGAGCTGGTAACTATTTCCTCGTATTACATTTTCTATGTGATTTTTCTCTGAGCCATCAGTTAGAATACGACTTGTAAAATGTGTTGATTGTCAGGCTTCTTCGGGGGAATGACAATAAACAAATAAGGCACAATAAACAAAGTTGTCAACTTTATCGCAACTGATTTCAGAGTTGAGTTATTTAACATAACTGTTCCTTCCATTCGAAGTGAATAGATGTGTTATTACAATAGCCTAGTAATAATATTCCGTTTTTTGCCTTTTTTGACCTGTTTAATGCTGGAACTAGAAGTAAACATCTTCGACAGTGTCTCGAGCTTGCAATGAGCGTCACGACTGTGAGTCTTCTGAGTTAGATGCGCGAAGCGAGTGTGAAACAGGTGGGATCTTTCAGAGGTAAATTCCAGCACCGTGCGAAGTTGATGGAGTAAAATCAACAAGGACCTAATTGAAAATAACGATATAATTCCATGAAAAACATAAATTTCGTTGCATTGCATGAGACATTACATGGTTTGAGTTAACATGAGAAAGATGTCCGTGTTCGATGATGATGATGCCCATTTATTTTAAGGGGTATTCCCCAATTAATTTATCTAAACTCAATCAATTATTCTGTTGTTTATATTATTTTTTTCCAAATTATTTTGTGGCATATTAAAGGTACTTCGAAATATGTATTATACATCGATTTAATCAATTAAATATAGATGGAGTGGTAAGGATGATTATTAGGATCATTATTCGTTTTTAGTGTCTCTTATAGTAAAATTACTTCAACGAATTTTACTAGGTCGCCAAAAAACAAAAATACATAACCTTCATTTAATAATTCATTAATATTAAACTGTCTTTGTTGCAGGTGAATTACATGCAATCAATAGTTACATATTTAGAGTTAAACCAATGTTATGGAATATAACGATAGGCTACGTTTAAGGGTACTTTACATAGAAACATGGATTAGGCCTAAGATAGGTTTACTTTACTTTACTTTTTACATTAAAACACTTTATTTGATCTGCAATTGCAATAATCAGAATTAAAACAGTGGACAACGTATTGTGCTAATTGCTATGGACAAAATCACTGTTTTATGGTATCAAATATGATCTGGAACTATTGGCTTGAATTAAGATCATTCTTAGGCATATTTATGTTTTATTTGCGATTGTCAGAGAACTGTTGTTTGGGTGCACACGTCTGTTGCTTTATTGTATTGCGCTCAAGCCTCCTGTAGCTCAATTTCGTAGAGCAAAGCGCTTGCAACGCCAGGGTTGTGGGTTCGATTCCCACGGGGGGCCAGTATGACAAATGTATGCACTCACTAACTGTAAGTCGCTCTGGATAAGAGCGTCTGCTAAATTACTCAAATGCAAATGTAAGTGCCCATATCCTCTCGTGTTCTGCATCAACACACGGCTAAAACCATGTGTCCCCGGTAAATGCTGCACAATTGACCAAAGGATCTGCATTCACATAAGACCTCTGCAGTTGCTGTCCAATACACACAAGGTCACCATTACTTTTTTTTTAACTTAACAATAGATAATTATTAGATAGATGCTTTGTACTTGAATCCCCTTTTGAAAAGGAGAGCTAAATAAATAAAATTCCAGGTTTATGAAAGCTAGCCTATATTCACAGTAAACTAGTGATTTTGTGGATATGGATTTAGTGAGTCCTAGCCTGAATTCCTTAACCCAAAACCAATGCAATGTATTACAATGTCATGCTTTCTGCAGCTTTTTCAATTGCAAATTAAGTAGGCCCAGCCAACATGTATGCATATGTGTTTATGTACGACCTGAAAGAGCCAAGCTCCCTCTAAATCATGACATGTAACGTTGTAGGCCCATGTCTGGAGGCTACAAGAGCGCGCAAAAATCCAAAGTAATCCGACCTTTTTTCATCACCTCAGCTCAGATAAACTTGTGGCCAGGAAAAGCTGCCCTGATTTTGATTCGTTTAGGCTTGTGGGGACCGAAATGGGAACGCTGGTGTGACTTTTCTTACCAACACCAACGGAAACATTCTCCTAATTATATAACAATGTCTTGGGAAAATGTCATTAAGATTTACCTCTGGTCACCTTTAATCCATAGGATTTTGGATCTTGTGTTAAACCATTATTTGATTTCTAAACGTCTTAGTGGCCTACCTCTAATATGTATTAGAGTTAGAGTAGAGAGAGCACATTTCTGAAACACCATATAATGGCGTGATATGTATGTGGGGGACATGATAATTCGATCATGCCTTGCGTTATCTTATCTCAAATCTCATTAAAAGTCCGCTGTCGGGTCGAGGCGCGGAATTTAACAGTTGGCCAGTCACGACCAACTGGGAACGCGAGGTAGCAGTGTTTAGCTTGATGGTTGAGTCGTTAAAGATGGCATGTAGACATCAAAGGGTTTTAAGGACACGAGACGGTTCGGGAGAAACCGCTGATCGCCCCTAATGACATCGTAAGTAAAAGTAAATTACTTCTGCGTCCTTATCAGAAAGGACACATCTCCGGGGGGACGTTTGAGCTTCTTTGTAATTAGGACTATTTCACTTTTATTACTGCATAATAACCATGGCTCTCACTCAATCCTCACTTGTATTAACAGTGTAGGCCTATATTCACCAATATGATCAATGGGTACTTTTCTCCAATAGGTCTATCTATACCCATATATAGCCTATTAATATCTACAGTATATCTTGATTAGGCCATATTGTAGGGCTTCCTTATGTGATGATGACACAAGTTAGATAACCCATGACCACTTTAAACAATTACATTTGAATTCTTATCCCACATTAACTCATTTATACCAGCAGTAGAATAAAGAGTAAGTCATATTTTCAAAACGGTAAAATCGGGGGATTAGGCACGATTCCCTATGACTAACAGAATCAAACAAAGCAAACGGCATGGCTTAGGGGTAATGCTTTTTTTCTTCTTCTGGAAAGCTAAATCATATCACAATGGAAAGGTGCGGCATGGGAGCTGTGTTTAGACTAAGACAGAAAAGACATCGGGTAACTGTGTCACACAGCCTGACCATTAAATATGCTCAGAAACAAAGAGCCTTTCTATCCCTTTTGTTATTTCCTCTTATTAAACCTGAATAAACAGCTCACCCAGGTATTCTGCCTCAGTGAATGGTGTCATTCTATTTACCTGAGTCTTAACAGCCCCGGGCATGTTTTCTGGGAATGGGGAAACACCCACACCAAACACATCCCAGTGTCTGTGTGTCAGCACTGGGAATTGTTTTGTTTTCTCACACCTTCTCTGACATATATCCTATGCACGTCCCACACACACACACACACACACATGCATGTATGTGGGCACACATACGTACCCACACACACAGGCTCTCATCACTCGTCGTGTGCCTTGCAGACAATACATGATTCAAGGTGTGTGTGTGTGTGTGTGTGTGTGTGTGTGGCCACATGTTGAGCTGGTAGTTCCTGTGGCATGGAGGTCTGGTTCAGACAGCTCTTATCACTCTCTAAGGTGGCAAAGGGGCTCTCCCCAGAGAAAAAAACATCCCTTTTGTCTCAGTGGTAAAAGGAGACATTCACATGTGTCACCTTAATCCGCTGATAATGAGGCCTCTTGAAAAGCAACTAGATAATCAAGCTGGACCGCTTGTGTATTGGCCTGGCATTGAGGGGACCGGGTGTGTGGGGGGGACAGGGGTTGTGGGGGGACAGGGGTTGTGGGGGGACAGGGGGTGTGGGGGGACAGGGGGTATGGGGGGACAGGGGGTGTGGGGGGACAGGGGGTGTGGGGGGACAGGGGGGTGTGGGGGGACAGGGGGTGTGGGGGACAGGGGGTGTGGGGGGACAGGGGGTGGGGAGGGGTGGGGGGGGACAGGGGGTGGGGGGTGTGGGGACAGGGGTGTGGGGGACAGGGGTGGGGGGGACAGGGGTGTGGGGGGACAGGGGTGTGGGGGGGGTGGGGAAGGGGGGTGGGGGGGACGGGGAGGGGGTAGGGGTGGGGACAGGGGGTGTGGGGGACAGGGGGTGTGGGGGGACAGGGGGTATGTGGGGGAAGGGGGTGTGGGGGAACAGGGGTGGTGGGGGACAGGGGGTATGTGGGGGAACAGGGGTGTTGGGGGGACATGGGTGGTTATGGGGACAGGGTGTGGGACGGACAGGGGGTGTGGAGGGTGTGGCGGTTTGAGGTGATGCTAGTGATATACACCAGGATGACCAGACAAGGGGTGTACCTCAGCTTCTATGGAAGTGCAGGAAATACTTAGTTAGAAATGTTATTTGATTAATTATCAAATATCACAATTATGCTTGTTTCATTATGGAATGTTCTGATCATATTGTCATTATTTGTAGTTATAGTATGGTAGAATACACTGTTGTTGTCATGGTATCACTGGTTTGTACACATTTTATAACAAATAATGACTTATATGAGTACAGTTCTGTTGTGTTATCAATATGATCTGACCTTTTTGATGTGTTGCTTTTCCAGAGGGAATCGCATTGTGATTTGAGTGATCAGTAGCGACACCAACCATGGGCAGCAAGACTCTTCCAGCCCCGGTTCCCCTCCACCCCTCCCTGCAGCTAGCCAACTACTCCTTCCTCCAGGCCTCCAACGGCTTCCAGCTGCCCACGGACCAAGTCCCTGGCATCTATAGCTTCAGCGCCCTGCACGCCATCCACCTCCACCAGTGGACCCTGGGATACCCTCCCTTCGCTCTCCCCCGCTGCACTTTCTCCAAGCTCCCAGCCCTGATGGACGGACGCTTCCCCGGCTTGCCTTCCGTCCCCATCTTCCCCCACCTGGTCCAGCCCAAGGACCAGGCCGCTGTGGTCGCCACTGCAGCTACCACCATGAATCTCCTTCAGGGCTCCAAGAACAAGCCCCAGCCACGCTTCGACTTCGCCAACCTGGCCACCGCCGCCACCCAGGAGGACCCGCTGAAGGCAGAGGACCTGAGCATAACAGGGGCAGCCGCCACGACTTCTCCTCGCCGTGGCGGGCTAGGCTGTCTCATGGACGTGGCCAAGCTGTCGTCGCCTGAGCGCAAGCCTAGCCGTGGCCGCCTGCCCTCCAAGACCAAGAAGGAGTTTGTGTGCAAGTTCTGCGGCCGCCACTTCACCAAGTCCTACAACCTGCTTATCCACGAGCGGACGCACACGGACGAGAGGCCGTACACCTGTGACATCTGCCACAAGGCCTTCCGGAGGCAGGACCACCTCCGAGACCACAGGTGAGACCTGCACTTTTCCATTACAATGAAGCTCAATTTAACGAATGAGGAGTATGGAGATAGATTGCTGCCAAAATGTTGTAAATGAATGAATAATATTTTATTGGAAACTTTATTTATAAGCCCAGACCCCCCATTTATAGTTACACTGCTGTGTAAGGCCTTTACATAAGAACAGCATAGGATATTAATACAAAATATGAAAAAGCGCTTTGTTAAATGGTCATATATGCTGTTGATTAATTATGTTGAGCCCCCGACAGTGTCATGCATCAGGGTTGAGGCATATTCCATTTGAATTAATTCCAATTGAAGAAATGGGATAGCCCCAAATGTAATTGACCCCAAACCTGTTATGCATGGCTTTTGAATGTGCTATTTTGAATCAATTTCGAATCAAACTTCTAATTTCCCCTAGAGTGACGGACCAATTAAACGTAGCGATAGCAAGATTATATTTGATGCTGAATCGGAATTCAGGATCAGTATGTGGAAAACGTTGTAACAATCCAGTTAAGTAGTGGGAAGCGATCAAGTGCATATGAGATGGTTTAGGCGGGGCAGTATCACCAAACCTCTCAATTCCTTCTACTTATTTATTTCTCGTCTCCTATTAATTTGCAGCTTTAGGTTGATAGCTGTCTTTGTGTGTTAGTTATGTTTCGTTACTCAATCCGGACTCTCTTTTTGTACTGCCCTGCAGGTACATCCATTCCAAAGAGAAGCCCTTCAAGTGCCAGGAATGTGGAAAGGGATTTTGTCAGTCCAGAACGCTAGCCGTCCACAAAACTCTGCACATGCAGGTGAAGGAACTAAAGCCATCCAAGATTAAGTGATGTCAACACCTTAAAAAAAAAGTGGACAAGGGGACACTGGAAACAATAAGAGACAAGACAAAATGACCAAAGACAGGGGACGTTGTGGAGCTGACCAAAGACAGGGGACATTGTGGAGCTGATCAAAGACAGGGGACATTGTGGAGCTGATCAAAGACAGGGGACATTATGGAGCTGACCAAAGACAGGGGACATTGTGGAGCTGACTAAAGACAGGGGACATTGTGGAGCTGACCAAAGACAGGGGACATTGTGGAGCTGACCAAAGACAGGGGACATTGTGGAGCTGACCAAAGACAGGGGACATTGTGGAGCTGACCAAAGACAGGGGACATTATGGAGCTGACCAAAGACAGGGGACATTGTGGAGCTGACTAAAGACAGGGGACATTGTGGAGCTGACCAAAGACAGGGGACATTGTGGAGCTCAAGTGCCTGGAACATAGAATGAGTAGAACATCTCTAAACTTGAACCAAACTGAAGTTCTCTGAACAGAAGAAAAGTGATAGAAAAAGTTAAATGTTCACCAACATTTCACCAGCCAAGGAAGCCGTTGTGCTCATCGTGGGGAACAATTCTTCAGAGAGATTTGAAAATCCTGGATCTCTATGATGTATCCAGACAATATCCAGGAGCACCTTGTACTAGATCTAAGTTGTTTTCCCACATTTAGTTAAGAGATAATTGGGCTAAAGGACTTAGAGGCGGTGTATTGGTTGGGCATGATGAAGCCCAATGGGGAAAATGGATGTGATCTTGACCTCTCTGACAAACTTGACCTCTCAGACATTCCGAAAGACTCTCGCTTTTGATCCAAATACATTTTTGAAAGGGACATTTACGAGTCTAAAGCAGTCTTTGTAAAAAAAATGTGTTTTAAGCCATGTCAGCATAGCATTATTTCTCTTCCAAAGCTTACATTCCAATGTTATTTTTTGTATAATTGTATTTTTGCACTTTAACCTGATTATTGATTATTTACATATATCACTGGATTCCTAAAACTTATTTTGAAAAAATAAATAGTCATTTTCTAAACAAAATAAATATTATGTTGTTGATTCTGTCTTCTTGTGAGAGGAATACTATCAAATACGTTGCTCTTTTAATTTCCATAGCATCTTTTAAAAGTTTTAAAATGGAAATCAACTGTGAAAATATTTTGTTTTCTCATTTCCTGTAGTTGACACAGTACTTTTGTTATTGGGGTTTCCTTGTTACCAAAGGAGATTCCCTTGAATTGCAACACCTACTAGGAACATTACATAAAGAGTATGGAGAGGGTTCCAGTGTGCATGCATGTCTATTGTGAGGTGTTGCAGTGGTCCTCATCTGAATGACAGCATTTCGAAGTGGATTTAACACTTGTCAACGTGACTTTGGTGGCTGGTAGCTAACACTGTCAACATTAGGTGTTAACAGGCACATCAGACATGTATATTGTGAACATGAAAGAACAGGTACAAACAGATTAAGAGAAACCTTAGCAGTTACCCTGCACCCGCTCACTCTCTCATCCCTTTTGAAACTCTCACAAGTTGTAACTTACCACTACGTGAAAGACAAAGAACAACACTAAAATATCAGTCACGTGATACTAATGACACCTCAATAGATGATCTAATTCCTCAAAATGTTCCCCGTTGTAGAAATCAAGTGCGTGACACCCAATGACTGTATGTGATATGACACCCCATCTAACAGACATTCGCCCTAATGTAATGGAACTTTACCAGAAATATTCAGACACTATAAAATCAGTATCAAAGTGCTGAAAAGGTTGCTTGACTTTTCCAGGCATGTTCTTGAAAGGAATGCTCTCAGATCATTTTCAAAACCGGACAAACAATGTTAAAGGAGAAAGAAAACCTGTAATCTACCAGAACTGTTTCTGGGGAACAAACTGTCCTCTGAAACATTGTTTCCTTATTCCAGGTTAGACAGAAAAGTGATCCGTCCAAGCATGTTGAAAGTTGAAAGGCATGTACAGACAGAAGGGAGACAAATATTACTTTCAGTCTAAGGGCCAGGGGTCGGATTGGCCATCTGGCAATTCTGGCAAATGCCAGATGGACTGGACTCTTTTTTAAAAATTGGGTGGGCTGGTCGAAAATTGACACAGACACAAAATATTTGTTTATATAAAAATAAAGCAATGAAAAAGGTGACATGGCTGGCGGCCCATCCCACTGGGCACACACTTGTTGAATCAACATTCTTTCCATGTCATTTCAATGAAATTATGTTGATCCAACGTGGAATAGACGTTAAATTGACGTCTGTGCCCAGTGGGATGGGCCTGTTAAGATTTTTACCCAATTCCTCTGTTATATTATTCTTTTATGAGCCTTATGGCGGATCAGTGGGCAACGGCCGGACCTCTTACCAGGATGGGCCTGAGCTGAGGTCACGCAAACTCACATTCAAAGTTAAAAGTGGCATCAGCAAAGAGACCTGCTCCGACTCTGTCATCAGTTAGACAGGCAAGAGAAAAAAAACATTGGAAAGGGTGCCTATAAATGCAGAAAGAGCACATTCTACACTGTCACCTCACTCAAAACGTCCTATTTTTGGGGCAGCTAAAACCACGATTTGGTCAAACAGTAAAGTGCATTATCTTCATGATTCCTGCAATGAAAATGTCTGCCATGCCCCCTGTGCATGTGCCCTCGCTGGGGCCTGCTGCTCTGATGAGAGAGCCGCTCTCCTCTCCCCCCAAGTGATTGAGAGAAAAATGCATTCTGATCGTATAGCGTTTCAAAATGTAATTTAGGGAAAAGGGAGGAGGGTCACAGCCTTCAGTAGGTATATCTTTTTTTTATTTTCTTTCTCAACTTTCAATAATCAGCTCAATAGTAACTATTTTACAACCAAGATATTTTATATGGCTTTTTGATATGACACACCAGCCATTGCGAGGGCATAGGCCTATGGGTTTCATGGTAGTAGCCTACAAATGCAAGGTTTTTTTTTTTTTAGGACATTACATTTACTGTTGGATGAATAAATGGCTAGTAGCAGTGGGTATTATATTTAGAGTTAGCAATCTGGTTGTTGTGTTTTTAGTTTCCACTTCCTCAATTGTTGAACCCTAAATTAATTAGCATATGATATTAGTTAGTGCACATAAAGATGCATGTAAATCATCTCTGTTGAACAAACAAAACATCTGCAAATTCTGTAGTCCTATTTTGACAGTACAATATTGCAACTATAGTCTAATTGGCCACCCAAAATTCATGACAATCACTGGATTAGGTTGCACATCAAAATATCTTGAATCATACATTCCTGCTTGGACGTCTTAGATGAAACAACTTATTTCTTGAATACCTCAGTAGTCTATGTATTATACTTCTTAATAAAGAACTATGAATGACTTTATAACATGATAAGTCATGATTTTGGGTCCGACCAAATCATGGGCTGGTGCCACCAACTGTAAAAGTTAGTGACACCAGGGGAAAATGTTAGTCTGGAGCCCCTGTAATAGTCGTTAACACTTAGGGTAGGTGTTGATTCAGGGGGAACACACACATGACAAGCACTCATTTTCAATGTAGCCTAAGTCGTTTGCTTTTATAACCTATAAGACTTAAGCAGACAGACAGAGAACAAGAAGAAGCAGAGTGACAGCAGAGAAGATGCTGAGACAGACAGACAGCACAACAAGGAGGCAAACAAAATGGCTAGAGAAGAAGAACAGTTATAGTGGTGAGTTGAATCTCCAGACAGAAGAACAGTTATAGTGGTGAGTTGTATCTCCAGATAGAGGAACAGTTATAGGTGTGAGTTGAATCTCCAGACAGAAGAACAGTTATAGTGGTGAGTTGAATCTCCAGACAGATGAACAGTTATAGTGGTGAGTTGAATCTCCAGACAGATGAACAGTTATAGTGGTGAGTTGAATATCCAGACAGAGGAACAGTTATAGTGGTGAGTTGAATATCCAGACAGAGGAACAGTTATAGTGGTGAGTTGTATCTCCAGACAGAGGAACAGTTATAGTGGTGAGTTGAATATCCAGACAGAGGAACAGTTATAGTGGTGAGTTGTATCTCCAGACAGAGGAACAGTTATAGTGGTGAGTTGTATCTCCAGACAGAGGAACAGTTATAGTGGTGAGTTGAATCTCCAGACAGAGGAACAGTTATAGTGGTGAGTTGTGTCTCCAGACAGAGGAACAGTTATAGTGGTGAGTTGCATATCCAGACAGAGGAATTGAATATCCAGACAGAGGAACAGTTATAGTGGTGAGTTGAATATCCAGACAGAGGAACAGTTATAGTGGTGAGTTGTGTCTCCAGACAGAGGAACAGTTATAGTGGTGAGTTGTGTCTCCAGACAGAGGAACAGTTATAGTGGTGAGTTGTGTCTCCAGACAGACCAGTTATAGTGGTGAGTTGTATCTCCAGACAGAAGAACAGTTATAGTGGTGAGTTGAATATCCAGACAGAGGAACAGTTATAGTGGTGAGTTGAATATCCAGACAGAGGAACAGTTATAGTGGTGAGTTGAATATCCAGACAGAGGAACAGTTATAGTGGTGAGTTGAATATCCAGACAGAGGAACAGTTATAGTGGTGAGTTGAATATCCAGACAGAGGAACAGTTATAGTGGTGAGTTGCATATCCAGACAGAGGAACAGTTATAGTGGTGAGTTGAATCTCCAGATAGAGGAACAGTTATAGTGGTGAGTTGAATATCCAGACAGAGGAACAGTTATAGTGGTGAGTTGAATATCCAGACAGAGGAACAGTTATAGTGGTGAGTTGAATATCCAGACAGAGGAACAGTTATAGTGGTGAGTTGTATCTCCAGATAGAGGAACAGTTATAGTGGTGAGTTGAATATCCAGACAGAGGAACAGTTATAGTGGTGAGTTGAATATCCAGACAGAGGAACAGTTATAGTGGTGAGTTGAATATCCAGACAGAGGAACAGTTATAGTGGTGAGTTGTATCTCCAGATAGAGGAACAGTTATAGTGGTGAGTTGAATCTCCAGACAGAGGAACAGTTATAGTGGTGAGTTGAATATCCAGACAGAGGAACAGTTATAGTGGTGAGTTGTATCTTCAGT